AAAAAAAATACAAAAAAATGATGAAAGAAAGTCACCTTCCCCCAACTCCCTCCACCAACCATGGTTAGCCCTGCATTGAAGATACTCCAATATAATAAAAATGAACTCATGTCCTTACATTTAGGATGACATATCAGCTAATAATATTTAATTGTCACGTAGACTCATAATCATACTGAATCTAAATAAATAGTATTATTCTAACAAAAATTATCCTAACTTCGAAAACTAATAGATATATAATGTCTTCTATTAATTTGGAGGATTATCAATTCAATTTGGAATTTCTTCAAATCACACCTTTTCTATTAAGCTTCTAGATATGATGAAAAAAGTTCTTTCCATGCTCTATTTATAGGATTATGCTACATGTACCCTATCTATTACACTTTTATTTACTCGGGCCCACCCCTTCCTCACATGGGGGTCGGGTCCCACGCATTTATTGAACATGGGATCCGACCCCCCTGTGAGAGAGGGGGTGGAATCAGATAAACAGGAGTGTAATCCATAGGGTACAAATAACATAATTCTTCTTTATATGCCCACCATTCAATTTAACAATTTAAAGAATTTTCTTGCACCTTCAAAAATATTTCTAAGTTTTCTCATTACGTCTTTAATCTGGCCACCACCAATTTTTCCTTGTCCCAACCTCTTCCTACCTTCAAAAAGTTTTTTCTTGCAAAAAATTATAAAGGCGAAGCTGCAAAAGTGGAAGGAAAAAATGGGTTACAGGGCTGGAAGCAGGTAAGGCGAGATGGTGGATGCATGGCGTGGTTTGAAAAGAGAAATATGGATAAAAAAAAATTATAATTCAATAAAAAAAGTAAAATGAGCAAGTAGATAAAAGGTAATTTCTTTCAATTTAATTCTCATGCGTCGATATAAGTTTTTCGAGTATATGATGAAAGTTGAAACATACTTCAAAAAATTCTTTATTTATTGTTTTTACTCAGTTTTAAATAGCATATATTTAGACATCAACGGCCAATAAAATCAAATATGTCATATATTAAATCCAATCGTTATAAAGTGAAAATATAGAGCGTGTTTGGCTTTTTAATAGAGTGGAGACTAATTTAAAGAAATGACTATTTAAAATAGACACCGCCTTATATTTAAAGAGTCTCTTGTATACGTGATAAGACATTTTTTTTAAAAACAATTTATAGTGACATTAGCCAAACATATGCTTATGTTTATTAATTTTTTTTCTCTACTATTAACTATACTTTAAGAGATAAAATTCGAATAATAGACATACTTCATTGAAAATGAAATTTAAACTTAACATTGAACATTAAAGTCATGTAAAATGACGATTTCTAGTCACATGCCACCTAAATGACAATCCATGAACTGCAGGGAAGATGCTCTGGATGGAATAGCTCAAATATTATAAATATTAATTATAGAATAATTCCATTTTACCAGAATTTCACCAGAAATCTCACATAGAGGTAGGTCCCACTGTGAATAAAATATTGCAAAAAATGCGGGCCCACCAGTGTTTTTTCTTATCTGTTGGTTTTCTGTGTGTACAATATTCTGTACACACAGCGAAACTATTAATTATAACTTTTGTATTTAAA